CTCTCTCCTTCTCTCTCCCTCTCTGTCTCACCCTTCCTCCCCTCCGTTATGTATCTGCCCGGGCTGGAGCATCGAAAAATAACAATAAAATATAGCTAAGTCCAGAACATTGCACAAGTCTTTTTATTCCTTTTTATCTGTTTTTAAACGAACTCGTATGACCTTTGTGTAATTGAAACTGGAATAAGAGCCCCATTGATCTGTTTAGTTAAGCTGCAGGCCGCTTAGTAGATTTAGTGGAGGTAAACCCAACTATCTCAGTTTTCAAGTGTTTTTTAAATATATATTTAACAGCCACACAAATCCCATGAAAGGCATCTGCAGAAAAAAAAACACTTAAGTAGAAAAATAATGCTTTTCTGACCGTATTAACGTCCTTGTGTTGCACGTTTCCTCTGTGCCAAATTGAGTTTCAGACAATACAAAGTCAATATATCATTTTCCTGCCTTCTGCATTCATAAAACATGTACTCTAATGGTATTATAAGCAGATGCACACTGTCACCAGGCGGATGGCGTCAGATTCAATTCATCCGCAACTTTTTGTGGTGTCATAAACTTCCGAGCTTGTTTATTTGCACGCAAATCAATGTAATGAGTGTAATAACAATATAAAATGTTATGCCTTTTCCTGCGCGGTCACAAACAGACGTGCGTAATACAGACGGGTATTTAGAGTCGCTCTGTAATTTGGGGGCCACAATTTGATTCATTTATCCGCACACTGTTATTAAACCCTGTGGAAAAAGAGATGTCAGCCGCCATTTCAGCCAGCAGGACATCCGCGCTTTGTTTAAATGCACTAATTACGCGCATACATTAGAGGGGGACGGAATAGTCAGAGCGCAATTTTCACATTTTCAATTTTCCGTCTATTTGACGTGCAGGTGAAGAGATGGCGGAGAGAGGCCGCCTTCAGTTTCAGCACCACCTCACCACCGCCTCCCCTGTATTTGCATAACATCCTAACTTGATGATATCCAGTGGGGAACACCGGGCTGTGCGCTTTCTGTTCGTCTAAAGCTCAGACACTGCTGCTGTGTCACTGCGTGTTAGACTTCTGGTGTCATGTACCCTGGCCATTTATGTGAATTATATTCAAGTCAGAAGGAGGGTTTGTGTATTAAAACCGTGCTTTGATTGCACACATTTGAACGGCTCTTTCTCCTGATGCAGGCTGTCTCACTTTCAGCCCATGTGTCGTCCTCTCCACTGAAGGCCATGGAAGTGATACTAATGAAGTCCATCGTTTAGGTCCAGCAGGTTTGCCTTGCAGGTCATTCAACTGGCGCCATCTCCTGGAGGGAATAGCAAACTGCCCTAACAGGTAAGACCATTTATTTTAATGTAAGGACAGATGCTCTGAAATAGCTATCGTTCTGCATCCATAGTGCATAATCCAAAATGCGTCATAACCTGTGTATTTGCGCTTTTCTCCCTCCTGCTTCACGGGCTATGTCTGTGTGCGTGATCCTCGGGAATAAAGCAATTTATAACGCCATCCACCTGTAGAGGACAGGTATCCTACATCTAACCACGCAGAGATATCAGTTGTCCATTATCCCACAAGTTTGTCCCTATATGCAACACGTGCAAATACTGGTCCCTATCATGCACCAACTGGCTCGTGGCCTTGGTGACGACGACTCATCCTCCATCCTCCATCCATCGCATGCCGCTTCTCCGCGCTCTGACCCCCAGTAATAGACAGGCTGGCTCTGCTTGAGAGGACCGAGCAGGAAAGAGAGGAAAGGAGGGAGGAGGGAGAGAGAGGGGAGAGAAGAGAGAGGAGAGGAGGGAGAGGCCGTGGCGTCTGGGAGGGGTGGGAGGCTTTTAAGGCGCGCGTAAGCAAAGTTAATTAGCGGTTATTAACAGCCCGCATAATGAGAGCGAGAGGGAGTCAATTTAATGACTTTGTTAGCGCGAGTTTAGAGCGACAGGCGATGATCGAAACAACAAAGGCGAGCGCGCACGCAGCCATCATCCGTAATTTCCAGCGGTAATGCGGTCTGATCAGAAACAAAGGGTTCTAATTTCGTTCAACTGACTCGATAATTTGTCCTTATGTAAGGAAAATAATTAATGACTTAATGCTTCAACAGAAGTAGCTTTCTTTGGGGGGGATTTCGGATGCCTCGTTTGCTGGAGAAGGTCGTAAGGAAATCAATTTCCAGGCCTATAATTATTTACATCATGAATTTAAAACGTGGACGTGTGCCTTTGCTTTGGTTAGTGTGCAGACGAATGAGAGTCTATTAGGAGAGGAGAGAAGGAGTCTCCAAATCTTCTTCCCTCAAACAAATTGTGTGTGGCAACAAATGAGCCACTTGTCATAATGTAGTATTGCAGACTTTGCCATTAGGACACAAAGACAATCATGCGAAATCAAAGAGAAATGTAGGTTTTTTTAAAGGCGCATAGAAGCTAGAATCCAACCAAAATATAAATGATATTTAGGATTCCTCATCAGACCAGGTTTGGAGGTTTTGGTGACAGGTGATACCTGATCATACCTTGGCGCTCAGCTGAACTGATGCCTCTCACGCCCCGTACCTGTTCCCGACAGTGTGCCAGGTTATTGTGGCTGCTGCATTGCAAAATTATCCTGAGGCGTGCGCGTCTTTACGCATGATTTCATCATTCCACAGATGGGTTGAGTCGGAGGAAAGATGTGAGCTCTATTATCGATTGCGGGGACATGAGCCGCCTGCGGTCCACTCTTGGATTCATGGCAGGTGGATAGGTCACCCACACGAGAGCGGCAATTTCACGGCCCCCATTGTCTCCACTGATGACTGCTTTGATCACAGGAATCAAGAGCCCGAGACTCTCGTAAACCTACTACGGAGTCCAGGAGCTCGTGAGCTGAAGAGGTCATCGTCATCATCATCATCTGCCACATCATCATCATAATCCTCATCATCATCGCTAGTTGACCATACAAACCTGGGGTGCCGTGTGTTTTCACAGCCGCGTTGCCCTTTTATTGATTGCGTGCCTTAATTTTAATTCGATTGCGCGAGTGTCAAAAAATCCGCAAGAATCATCCTAGTAATGAGATAATCAAAGTAATATATGCAAATCAGTTATGTTGCCAGCTTATCAAAACCGGAGTGCCCCCCCTTGAGTCTGAAGAAGTCCATTTATTCAGTTAGTGGCAATACCTTGCGCAAATGGCGCGATGCAAATGACAGTTGATTAGACTAAATTAAGAACCTCGTTTCTCCCTGACCTTGTCTGAGTTTTATGTAAATTCTTTTTTTCTTGCTTTAATGTGATAAAAGTGCATTTTACACCCTGGCCTTTATAAATCTGAACACTATTTTCCATGAGAGAAACAATGGTCAGCCTCAAATAACTCAGTGTGTCAATAGCTTGTAAGACTCTCTCTGTCTGTTTTCAGTCTGTCTGTCTGTCTCTCACAAAT